ATATATATATATATCCACAATTTGAAGGTTGTTATAGCTTTTAAAACACCATTGGTTGGTTTGGTGAAACTTACTTGGTCCCTAGTCAAGTTTTAGCTTTTAATTGAGATATCCAAAAAAAGATTTTCCGAATAATGTTTTCTTAAAAGTTAAAACGTCACCTACTACCCACCCCTACGAGAGATAATAATTCGATAGATTTTGTCGATGAAAAACGGTTAAGGTGTTAATTTCCATTAAAAATAAATCCATATAATTTATTCCAAAAAAAAGAACATAATGAACCATCAAATGCTCGAGTTGAAACAAAGATATAAGGGATGAACCATACCCTCGAACGTTCGTCCATTACATCTCCACGATCAAATCATTATTCATTACGAACCGAATTTTAGATATTCACGAATATTAATAGTAAGACATGAAATAACATTAACATTGTCAAGATTTTATTGGGATTTTTCACATCATTAGAACATAAAGATGAACATGTACTTATATAAATACAAAGTCTTCATTGGTTAAAGATTTTTTGGGTGGTGTTTAAAAGTAAAATCATGAGAGTTCAAGCATAAAGTGGACAATATCTTACCAAGGTGGAGATATATGTAAATGAAAACCCAATGCACAATAAATGATACTAGAGTCGATAATCTGATTAGGTGATTGACTCAACGAGTATGATAAAGTCGACAAGTAGATTTGAGAGGCGTCCCACTATCGTGAGTTAATGATGGAGCGACAACGAAAATACTTAAAGTGTAACTAAGCTCTATGGGCAACATGTATACTTGTAGACTGATAGCTTCTATTGTTAAACCATGGTTAAGATCTCTTGGGTGATATTTAAAAGTAAAATTATGAAACTTTAGACTCAAAGTAGACAATAGAATACATGTGTATGGTAACCCTGATGCACAACATATTTATTCTAGATCACTTAAAAATATCACTTACCATTTATCCAAGTATTTGTTGGGGATGATACATATAAAAACTGTGAGACCCTCTCTTTTCTTTCCCTATGCAATAAAATTAGCCAGTCAGTGAATGAAAGCAATCAGCACCGGCGCTTCGAGTTTGACCTGGCGCCTTTTCACTTGTCTTCCAAGAAAAACAAGTTAACTGTGGTGGGAAGTGACGCAGCTGGGTTACTATGGCCTTCGATTGAAAACGCTTTTACTGTAGCATGCGTGTCTTTGTACGATGTGGAGGAGCCAGCATCTAATGAAAGCTCATGCTCCAGCACTTTTTGTTGTGAGACTCTCATACAAAAGACCTTATCCAATTTCGTCTATTTATCTTATACAAATATCTTCAGCAATCTGCTTTTCGACAGCTGCGGTTATGCATTTCTGGTTAAGGACGGAGCTGTTGGCATATACATCATTTTGAAAAACCGTTTTTGCAACAGTAACACGTTTGTAACAGCCACGTAAAAGGAAACAACGTGCTTCCGATTTTCACATTGTTTTCCTGATTCTTCTACTTGCTGCGGTTAACATATCATGAATGTGGTCCATTTTTCAACCACAAAAATATGGTTGGACACTTTAATAATCTAATACACACTTTTGAATTTGTCCTCACTTGCAACCAAACCCTTTCACCACAAACCCTTTTCCTCAAAAACTATAATTCATTGGTGCGTGTGCTAAACATCTCACTCGATGGCCAACTCGACATTTCATTGCCAATAGCCATAAATTGCAATGAAATTAGCCAGTCAGTGAATGAAAGCAATCAGCACCGGCGCTTCGAGTTTGACCTGGCGCCTTTTCACTTGTCTTCCAAGAAAAACAAGCTAACTGTGGTGGGAAGTGACGCCGCTGGGTTACTATGGCCTTCGATTGAAAACTCTTTTACTGTAGCATGCGTGTCTTTGTACGACGATGTGGTGGATGAGCCAGCATCTAATGAAAGCTCATGCTCCGGCACTTTTTGTTGTGAGACTCTCATACAAAACACCCTATCCAATTTCGTCTATTTATCTTCTACAAATATCTTCAGCAATCGGCCTTCCGACACCTGCGGTTATGCATTTCTGGTTAAGGACGGAGCCTACAGTTTCTCTAGCAAAGACCTTGTCGGTAATTAATTTTTTAATTATATTTTATTTATTAGATAAATCTTTTTTTTTTCTTTGACGAGTTGTTATGTAAATAATATTATTTTTTTTGTAGTGAATATATCTATGTATAAATAGATATAGATTCTAATCCTATTTATTTTAATTTTATAATATATATATTATTTATATAATAAGTTTATACAGTAACGAATAGATGTCTAACCCAAATTTAATTGGTTTGATCTTTTTATGAAATTCAACCTATTATATTTTAAATATTAGTTTTTTTTTTACTTTACAAAAATATCCTTGTAAAATTATGTAATGGACACGCACAGATTACATGTTAGGATGCATGTGACATTAATAAAAATATCATATATCACACTTGTGTATTGCCGCTAACAATACACATAAAGTAGCCTAGGAGTACATGTTAGGTCACACCCTCAATGCACTCTCACTAGGAAGATATACTAGTAGGGTTTGGTTAGAATAGCTAAGCCGCACATGATATATCCCATGCGCATAAGGAAATGAGGTGAGACTTCCAAATTGAGTTATTCCTAAGGTTGGTTCCCAAGTTTTCACACAAGGGACCTTCCTTGGCGGTGTATTCCATATATATCATACCCTTAAAAACACTTTTATACATATGATGCATGTTAAACAAACTCTATATATAGCAACTCATATGATCTCACTAATTCACATATCACATGTCTTATCATATCACATTATCACATCATTTCACTTTAAACTGATCTCAATATAATTAACAATTCAACTATATCAATTAAATATTAACAATCAATGGCATAAGGGATCATGCCACTACAACTCATACATAGCTCGTAATCATATATAGTAAAAACTGACTAGAGAAAAACTTTATTCTCACATTTTTGTATTAAACATGACTACTTACCCCTTTATTAATTAGTACTAATACAAACACATTTATAGAGTACATTAACAGATGATACAAACATATAACACTAACAAATTAAGATATACAAATGATACCTATAGACTATCATCAAACTATATGTACAAACTAAACCTTTAGACTCTATATGTATAGACTAAGCATGTAGATTATACATGCAAAAGATACATGTAAACCATACATTTGAATTACACTACTCAATACTCTTTTTTAATTCAAATGTTCAAGGACACAACTCTTAACATATTCCTTAACTCCTTGAATCTATCTGCCTTCAGTAGTTTAGTAAAAACATCTACAACCTGTAACTTCGTTTATTAATAGGCCAACTCCAATTTTCTCTTGCTCACTTGGTCTCTTAAGAAATGAAACTTAGTCTCTATATGCTTGCTTCTTCCATGTGCAATTGGATTCTTGATCAAGCTTATAGATGACTTGTTGTCAACAAACAATTGTATTGGTTTCTTGTACTCAATCTTTAACTCTTTAAGTAGTGATTCCAACCATAAAACCTAGCCTGTGAAGAAGCTATGTACTCTACCTTATAAGAAGATAGAACAAGCATATTTTGTTTCTTTGAACACCAAGATATTGGTGCATTCAAAAAAGCAAAACAAGTAATCAGGAGTACTCTTTCTGTCCATCTTGTCTCCGCACCAGTCAAAATCTAAAAATGCTTCAATTTATGCTACACATTGCTCATTTCCCTTAAGAATAACCAAATCCTATTTCCCTTCAGGTACCTCGGAATATGTTTGGCAATAGCCATGTGTGAGAGACTCTTGGATCATTCATGTATAACACCTTCTTCCACTTCTTGAATCTCGCTCTTCATAATTTTTAACACTTTTTGAAAAATAAAAAATGACACTTATCTTCACACACCATTGCTCGAAGTGTTTTCCATAAAAAAACAAGTAAGTTGGTAGGAAATCCCCATAAGAACCAACCATGATTCACTCTTCCAACACCATGCAAGAAAGTAGAAGTATACACACACGGATAGTAGAAATTCACACAAGAAATAGTTTCTCTCACAACAAAACGCCTTGCAACCTAGTGGGTTTTACACACACCACCCACATGTCCATCATCATCAACAAGCTCTTAATACCAATTTGTTGGGGATGACATCCACAAAACGAACGCACTTATAACAAATAACAAAGTGAAAATTTAGTAGAGAAAAACTTTATTCTTACACTTGTGTATTACACATGACTACTCATTCATTTATTAATGAGCAATAATATAAACACATATTTATAGAGTACATTAATAGATGATACAAACATATATCACTAGTAAACCAAGGTATAAAGATGATGCCTACGGACTATACCATCATACTTTATGTATAGACTAAACCTTTAAACTCTATATGTACAGACTAAATATGCAAAATATACATATAGACAATACATGTAGACCATACATTTGAATTATATTATTCAATAGTATCAAGTCCAATTAATATTACTAGACATGAAGAGGTGTATTGAGAAAAACTCAAGTTTCTCATGCACTAGAGATAAGACAAACAAAAAATATATAATTGAGGGACAACTTTCACTTTACAAGTCAATTTTGTAGAAATAATGAATTAGGTTCATAGGTTAAATTCTAAGAATTATGAAACTTGTTTTTCAACATTCAGAACATAAAATAAGAGATTTAGGATCTATTTGGAAAACTTCTCCAAAATAAAATAAGTATCCATAAATTAAAATTACTTATTCATAAGTTATTTTGTAGAAGTTTTATTTTATTTATTTCTCTAAAATCTTGTTTTTAACTTATACATAAACTAATTTTAATTTATAGAGAAACTTATTTTAGTTTTTTATTTTATTTTATTCTTCTAAAATTACTTATGAAAAACCTATTCAAATAAAATTTAATAGTTACTCAAGCACCTTAAACAATTATTTTAGACACTATTATAAATTATTATAATAATCTCGAGTAACCCTTAAAACAATTATTACAAAAGAGTTAATCACTTATACATTGTCAGTATAAAGTTTTTTTACACTGACAACCAATCATATATTTTAATAGTGTCATGTCAGTTGCTTATTTAATGAAATAATAATAAAATAAGCAACTTTAAAAGATATGATTGGTTACTAATATAAAAGATTTTACACTAACAATGTATAGATGATTAACTCATTACAAAATACATAATATTTTCGCACATACATATAATTTATGATGACATATAAGACAGATCAGAAATTTGACTCGAGGAGGGTGAATTTTTTTAACACTTATATGTAAATATTTTATTATTATAAATATTTTATAATTATTTATATATTTTTATTTTTATTTTTATTACATTAAATATCAGTTATATATATATATTTTTTTTCTTATATGTATAAACTAATATAAAAAATTTTACTTATCAACTTATAATTATTTTTAATAGATGTTAAGGCAAAAGTATTTTAAAAATAATTTTGATATATTTAAAAAAAAAATAGAATACCATGGCCTATGGTGCCCCTCCCTCCGCCCCTACATGACAGCATAGTTTATTTTTAACACTCAATATATTTTAATTACACATGGAAAGATAAATTCGAGAGATTAAAATAAAAATAAAAATAAAAATAAAATAATGTGAAGAAAGATAGTGAGAAACATGGCACGTTAAATGGAGTGCGTCGCAATCAGAATTAGGGAAGCTTGAATAATGAATTGTGGGTACAAAGGTCATTTTACACTCATGAATTATTGGTGCTAACTTTAGGAGTTTTTGTCTTCCTTCTGCACCGCTACCTGCTTTTATTTATGTTTGTGGCCACTCGCATTTGTCTCTTTCTCTACCTCAAACCCATCCATACACATCCATCATCCTTCACATTTTCTCCAAAATAAACATTAGATCCCGTTTGAAAACTTCTCCAAAATATAAAACTATAAAATAATTTAATTGAACTTTTATTATAATCATCATTACAAAAAAAATTGTTATATATTGTGTATATCACTAAAAATTACTTTTACCCACACATTAAATATAATATATATTGATATAGTATTAAAAACTGTGGATATAAATTATAGTGACATACAAAATATATTATTAAATTTCATTTAAAATTAACACTAAAATTATATATAACTATGTGTCAAATAGATATATATTATATATATTATTTTTTTAGTGACATTTTTTATATGTCATTATATAACATTTTTTGTAGTGTGTATTTTAATTTTAGAGGGATTAATTAGATAATAGAATTTCTAAAAGAGTTTGAAACACAAAAACTAATTTTAACTTATAAAATAAATTAACTTGTTTTACTCTTTTTTTTGTTTAATTTCTCATTAAAATACTTAATGGTCCTGGTATTTAATTATCATAAATACTTATTTGAAAAGAGTACTTAATAATTAATAGCAACAAAACAGCATCTTTTAGCCCTCCCTTGCAATTTGCAAGCAAAATTAAGTCTTATTGGAAAAGAGATTAGAGAAGCAGTATCAACTCCAAGCCATAGATGTAATGATGGTTGCTGCTGCTTGCATTTGCAGTGTCTCACAACTCACAATGGTATCCCAACGTCAATAAAAAATAGCAAGAAATATATTGATTTATTGCTTAAACAGATGATTTGGATGAGTTTTAAATGATACACTATAATTGATTTTAAGGTCTGAATTTAGATTAATAATTATACTATGGGCTTAATGTGTAAAATGAATTAATATTCCTACAGATTTTACTGAATTTATATTTGTTGCAATTATTTTTCACTGTATATATTTTAATGAGTTGAAAAATAAAAAAGTCAAAAATAAATTTTATATACTTATTTTGGAAGGTAATTTTTTCCATTAACCATTCTTATATATATGATTTTAATCATGTGACCAACAACCTAAAGTCAACGCATACATTAATAAAAAACAGAGAGAATAATTTTGTTTCCACTTGTTTATGTCTAGGTGTGAGTGTGAGCATCTTAACCCTTATCGGGGGAACCTTTTATGTGTATTGGACATCAAAGAAAATCAAGCTCATGATCATGGGATAGTTCCTTGCATTCGTCAATGTCTGAAAGATAACTAGATAGTTATAATTTGTTTTTTTGACAATGAATAGGGAGCTTTAAAGAAATAAAGTTTGAGCACATTTTACAAGGATATTTTTGTAAAGTAAAAAAAAAACTAATATTTAAAATATAATAGGTTGAATTTCATAAAAAGATCAAACCAATTAAATTTGGGTTAGACATCTATTCGTTACTGTATAAACTTATTATATAAATAATATATATATTATAAAATTAAAATAAATAGGATTAGAATCTATATCTATTTATACATAGATATATTCACTACAAAAAAAAGAAT